TTATCGGTTGCGCAAGGGCATACTGGTTTATGGGCGATTAACTGCTCTAATGAACCTACAGTGCTGCCGAAGGGTCTGAAACATGCAGAGATTCGTGAACACCAAGTATTGTCGCTTGCCACCCTCGCAGAAAGCAATGATTCCCCGGATAAGACCCGTTGCGATAATCTGCACGCCAGGGACGCCACCATTATGGCTATGATTGATAAGTCACTCAGCACCAAGGAACGTAATGAACTGGCGAGTATTCTGCACAAACATGCTGGTATTTTTGATTTCGCACAGCAAGATTCACCGTCATTCCCTGCTTCTCGTATAAAGCACCGAATCGACACGACATCTCACAGACCTCTCCGACAGAAACCATATCGTGTATCACCTTCCGAACGCGCAGTGATCAATGAACAGGTTTGCGAGATGCTCAAGCAAAATGTAATTCAAGAATCATGTAGTCCGTGGGCCGCTCCAGTAATTCTAGTGAAGAAGAAAGATGGGACATGGCGATTTTGTGTTGATTACCGCCGTCTCAACGCCATCACTAAAAAAGACGTATACCCACTCCCGCGGATTGATGATGCTATCGACTGTCTATCATCGGCCTCTTACTTTTCGTCTGTGGATCTGAGGTCAGGCTACTGGCAGATTCCAATGCACGAGGAAGACAAGGAGAAGACGGCATTTGTTACAACAGACGGACTATTTGAATTCAATGCGATGCCGTTCGGACTCTGCAACGCGCCCGCAACTTTTGAGCGATTTATGGACAACATTCTACGTGGATTGAAGTGGGAAGTGTGTATGTGTTACTTGGACGACGTTGTAATTTTTGGGCGCACCTTTTGTGAGCACAACACACGCCTTGGTCTCGTACTGGACTGTCTAAGCAAAGCCCGCTTGGTGCTGAACTCAAAGAAATGTCGTTTTGGAGAGCGCCAAACCCTCGTCCTTGGACACTTAGTAAACAAAGAAGGCATAAGACCGGATCCCGCCAAGACGGCCGCAGTGGAGGCATTTAAGCAGCCAAGCTCGGTGAAAGAACTGCGAAGCTTTTTGGGCCTTTGTTCATACTTTCGCCGATTCATTCCTGGCTTTGCCAATATCGCATACCCGCTCACGTGTCTGCTTCAGAAAGGTGCGCAGTTTGACTGGACCCCGGAATGCGAGTCTGCTTTTTCGGAGTTGAAGTTTCTTTTGACGTCCCATCCGATTCTTCGCCACTTCAATCCTCTCGCTCCCACTGAGATTCACACAGACGCCAGTGGTATTGGTGTAGGTGCTGTCCTGGTTCAACGCTTGGATAATCAAGAACACGTCGTAGCGTATGCAAGTCGCTCGCTCAGCAAGTCCGAGCGTAACTACACTGTCACAGAGCAAGAATGCCTTGCAGTAGTCTTTGCAGTGCAGCGCTTCCGGTCCTACTTGTACGGACGCCCCTTTACCGTCGTGACAGACAATCATTCTCTCTGCTGGTTGGTCAACCTGCGTGACCCATCTGGTCGGCTGGCGCGCTGGGCACTTCGTCTACAAGAATATGACTTCACGGTTTCCTATAAAAGCGGCCGACGTCACGCTGACGCAGATTGTCTTTCGCGACTGCCGCTTCCAACGATTGAATGTGACGCGGACACCTTCGATACCTACATTGCATCACTCGACCACCCATTTCCCGATAACAAGACCTTTAAGGATGAGCAACAAAGGGACAGCACCGTACAACAGCTTCTTGCTACCAAACCAAAATCATCGCCTACGCGCTTCTGCATCCGAGACGGGCTAGTGTACAAAAAGAGCTACACCAACACCGGCTCACGATATCTTCTGGTTGTTCCGAAGAGTCTTCGCGTTTATGTTTTGCAGGCTATGCATGATGACCCAACATCCGGTCATCTAGGCACAGCGAGAACTCTGTGCCGTCTTCAAGAAAGATTCTACTGGCCCAAAATGCGCCAGACGACGGAACAATACGTGTCTAGCTGTAACGAGTGTCAACGTCATAAGCGCCCAACAAGTGCTCCTTTAGGGCGATTACATCCGGTGCCGCCCCCTAGAGCTCCATTCGAACAAGTCGGGATTGACCTCCTTGGACCCTTTCCCCGGTCGTCTGATGGAAATCGCTGGATAGTCGTTTGCACCGACCATTTAACACGGTACTGCGAGACAGCTGCCATACCATCGACAACTGCAGCCGATGTGTCTTCCTTCATGCTACGTTTTGTAATTCTTGGACATGGACCTCCCAAAATCGTAATCAGTGACCGTGGCCGACAATTCACAGCAGACGTGATGGAAGAGATGCTTCGTGTCTGTGCTTCAAGGTTTCGGCACTCTACGCCATACCATCCCCAAACGAACGGTCTAACTGAACGAACGAACAGAACTCTCTCGAACATGCTGTCTATGTATGTTGCATCCGATCATAAGGACTGGGACAGTATTCTACCCTTTATCACATATGCATTCAACACCGCTCAGCATGAAACTACCGGCTACAGTCCTTTCTTTCTTCTATATGCTCGACCACCTCGTCATACCCTGAATACCATCTTCCCGTGTTTGGACCACCGTGATCCCTGCATATCCGAGATCATCTGTCGGGCAGAAGAAGCTAGACGCCTTGCTTATTTGCGCACTCTTGCTTCGCAAGATCGCTCGAAGGCACATTTTGACCGCCGACGCCGACACGTGACGTACAATCGCGGCGACCTAGTGTTGCTGTGGACACCAACTAGAAAACGCGGTTTGAGCGAGAAACTGCTAGCGCACTATGCGGGACCTTATCTTGTTGCAGACCGTATCAGTGATTTAGTTTACCGCATAGCGCGTCTCCATTCAAACGGCCGACGGTCTGCAAAAACTGAACTTGTCCATGTTGCACGTTTGAAGCGCTTTATTCCTCGAGAGACTGTTTGACTCGCCCAGTGGGCTTCGTCTGCGCGGAGGGAAGTGTTACCACATGTGTAATTTAGGTATGTGCACCTGTGTAGCGGGGAACATGGTGGTAGCAGAAGAAGAGGACGTTCGGTTCGTGGCAAGAGCTCGCTGCTTCGCGTTCACTGCGGTATACCGTCGAGTCGACCGTTACGTCTGCTTCGAATAAACCCCTCGTAGGCGTAACAATATATATATATATATATATATATATATATATATATATATATATATATATATATATATATATATATATATATATATATATATATATATATATATATATATATATATATATATATATATATATATATATATATATATATATATATATATATATATATATATATATATATATATATATATATATATATATATATATATATATATATATATATATATATATATATATATATATATATATATATATATATATATATATATATATAGCTTAAAATGGTCAATGTTTCGCGCACAAACATTTCCTTCCTTGCAGCATGATTCGAGGGGTCTAATTACGCTATTGCATTTTACTCTTTTACTCGTGAAGGCGAAGCTGAAGCGTCCTCATAGCTCATAGATAGTGTTTTCTTTTTTTCCTCCTCAAAACAGGAACCACTGAGTCAACGCTTAGGTACATAATTACCACAATAGCCGTTTTTTAACTGCCTAAATAACGCACTGTTATTCCAGCATGCCACTGAAGCAGTAAGCTGAGACTAGACGAATGAATAGTTGGATCTGAATGGCTTAATTTTGGAAACGTTGAAGTCGATGAATGTTAGCTGTACAAACATTTCTCATGACCTCCTACAATGTGAAATATAAGTGTGGACGAAGGCGTTTCCTGCACGAGGCAGCAAGAACACCCGCACAAATATTTTAGAAAGAAATCTTAGTTACCTTCATTCATCATGGTCCGTGGAACGAACCGAGACCAACTCCAGCCAGGGCCGGACACTGTCAATGGAGCTAACAAGGGAGCTAGCAATTGCGGCGTGAAAGTGAAATAATTGCCAACTATAAGCGCATAGACATAAATTATTGCAAATCATTTAGGCAGAATTAGGCAAATCGCTAGAATTATTTAGAAAAAAACTTACAACTATGCAGCTGCGGGACGAAGCTGCACAGGACTTTTGTGGGGTCACGCTGCTACGATTCGCAATATGTCGTGTCCATGCGCTTTGAAATGTCGATTGATTCGCCCGAGCAAAGCAACTTCCTAGCTTCATGGTTAGCTTATTGTGACCTCCCGACTAGGATGTTTTTTTCTGCTACTAAGAAGCTTTATAGTTTACCAATCCGTACGTATTTTCCGATGGCTTCATGCTACAAAGAAATGTTTGTTGATTTCCCTTTCTCGACTATTCCACCACTTAGTGTAGCGGAATTCCGCACAATCAATTTGCGATTTTAAGGATTGAAGTACGTAAAACCTTATCTATCTATCTATCTATCTATCTATCTATCTATCTATCTATCTATCTATCTATCTATCTATCTATCTATCTATCTATCTATCTATCTATCTATCTATCTATCTATCTATCTATCTTTCTATCTATCTATCTATCTATCTATCTATCTATCTATCTATCTATCTGTCTATCTATCTGTCTGTCTGTCTGTCTGTCTGTCTGTCTGTCTGTCTGTCTGTCTGTCTGCCTGTCTGTCTGTCTGTCTGTCTATCTATCTATCTATCTATCTATCTATCTATCTATCTATCTATCTATCTATCTATCTATCTATCTATCTATCTATCTATCTATCTATCTATCTATCTATCTATCTATCTATCTATCTATCTATCTATCTATCTATCTATCTATCTATCTATCTATCTATCTATCTTGTAACGGAGAGCACATGACTTAAGCCATCGCTCAAACATTCTGCTCATAGAAAACCTAATTTTTATTGGTTCAAAGGTGAGTAATAGAGCTCGCCTAATTTCATTAGAACATACCCGTGAGGATTTGCAAACGAGAATGCCCCCTTCAACGCAGGCTTAACGACGGCGTTAATAAGCTACAGTGTTAAAGGTATTGGACATGCAGTGGTTTTCCTACCTTTTGAAGAGAGCACAAACGAGAAGAAAACAAGTTCAATGAAAATCATGGTGCTGTTCTGAATAAGATGAACAGTCTGCAAAATAAACTGCTAATGGACTGAAGTATGCTTTTCATACTTTTATATACCCAGAGAAAAAAAATGGTGGTAAGCGAGCAACACTTAGTTTCACTGCCCTTAAAAAAACTACAGGCTTATTGCGCTTTCATAAGTTGAAATTAAGTCAATGACTCTTCACAGTTTTGTTTCACAAATATGAAGCTGCAGAACGCGAAAACGGCAACTCAAGTTGTGCATTTAAACTATATCTTACACATCAAGTTTACAAAAGAAGGCAGGCTAACCTAATGTCACTTTACTTGAAATGTTAATGAGATGAGCTTGAAGAGTCTGACCATTGCTCGGAGGCTTTGTTCTGCGAAGGCTAACTGAAAGTGTAAGGAGCAGAAGGTTAAGTGTGACCTTCTAAATCACGGCTACCCACCGAGTGCATGATATTCTAAGTCAGCGCGACCTTCTAAATCACGGCTATCCAGGGAGTGCATAAGTGGGGAGGAGCATCCGTCAATCCATCTGTGCTTTCGTCCGTCCGTATGTGCGACTGTGGGACCGTCTGTGCATCTGTTCGTACGTCCGTCAGTCTGTGCGTCCATCTGTCTGTCCATGCGTCCATCCGTGCGTCTGTCCAAACGTCCGTCCACCCATACGTCCGCGCGTGCGTTCCTACATCCGTTTGTGCGTCCGTCCGTCCATGCGTCTGTCTGCCTCTCCGTCCGTGTGTGTGTCCATCCATCCGTCCATCTAGTGAACACTCCAAGTACCACCATCTCGCCTCTTTTCATCGTATATTCATCATTAAAGTTCCTGTGAATATACAGTAACTTTATTGATGAATATATGATAAATATATGCTACTTTTCGGTAGTAGAGTAGCGCCGAAGTACGCCATCTTGGGTTCAAATGCCTTGCGGAAAAGCCACTCACCACTTACACAGGAGCAGCGTTCATGCTTCAGGGTACTGTTGTTGCTTTCATTTTTTTCGCTTTCTTTGTGTTTTTCTGAAGATTCGAGCAAAACTCTGTTGCTTTAGTTACTTTTAGCCTTGATTCATTGTTTACGTTGTTGGTATGTATTAATGAAACAAAATGCGCCGGATCGTTGAACCAGTGAGATGTATATTTTTAGTTGGCCACAGATTAGCCTCGTTTTCTTTTCCGCTGTTTTTCCCATTCACAGGTATGAAACTACTTTTGCACTTTCGATAGTGATCGAGCCAGTCAGGAATATAATTTCTTCGCAGCATTAGGCTTACTCGTTAGCTGTGTGAGAAAGCTAGCTAAAATGTTTGTAGCCTTCCGCTGAATCGAGCTGGATAGTGATCGAGAGTGGTCGTGTGACGCCTGCGTTACGCGCGGCTCTCGCATGACGCCCGTATTACAATCACAGTTCACTACAGTTTATGTGTACAGCTGTTTAGCAGCCCTGTCGCGTCCACCACTTTTTTTTGCCTGAAGTTTGAAAGCTGCTGTAAATGCCCGTGCTACCGAAACGCCTTGCCGCTTCGAAAACTTTAATTCACTTATCCCTTTATTTTTGGAGTTACACCCGTCAGACCCATTTGAACGTGTGCAGGTGACGCACGTTGACCACCTCTGCTTGTTTAACGTATTCCCTGCACCTGTGGGTAATGCAAATACAGCAAGTTTTAAATGATGTATAGATAAAAAAGAAGCCAAACGAATGGGCGTCAGCAGATAGGTGTAAAAGGAACACCTGCCTCCCTGAAGCCACCAAAGCACTTGCCCTCATGCAATCTAGACCAGTGCTCTACCTCTCCCTGAGCCGCGATGCAACAATGGTTTGCACTCCCCAAGAGAAAATTCTGGCGACGACCATGACCAAGCGTTTATTCCTTCCTCACTGAACACTAATCCTTCTATAAAAACACCAGCAGCACCTGCATCTAATCATTATAACATCCCATCTTTCATGTAAAACCCCAAGCTAGGGTATTTGAGGTATTAGTAAATAAAAGCATATGGACTGTACGTAGTACACTTCAACACAGAACGCACTTGTTACCACATTTCTCGCGACCAACAGGCAACATGCCTACAGTTGCTGAAGAAATGCCGCGAGAATTACCACAACAGCCGATGTCAACGACGCTTGATCTGCCCGCAATGTGCGAAAGATCGGCGTCGTCTGCGTTGTCGCCCTTCAGTGCAAATGAACCATCTATAACCACATGATTGCGCTCGGCGAATAGAGCGCTGTACTCGTGCGGGCGGGGCGATCGGTACCTGAGTGGGCACGGGATGGCAGGAGCGACGATGGTCACTAAAAACCACTTCTGTCTTTTCACTCAGTTGGCCCTCGTCATTGGAACGTGCATCCCTGTCTGCGTGGATTGTGCCGCGCACGTACCCAAGTTTGGCACGTGCCCTCTTCCGGAGGCTTGCAGCGAGATCAGCGCTGATTTCCTGGGACCCCCTCACCCACTGTGTGATGCGACACCGGAGCGTTTGAGGAAGGCCTCCACGACATCGACAGCGACAACGGTGGACTACATAAACTCGTCCTCGAAGCATCACCCGTTCAGTGTGCATGAGATGGCAGCAGCGACGGTGGTCGCTAAAAACCATTTCTGTCTTTCTTTTCACCCAGGTTGGTTGTTATTATATTCACTGTAGAAGATATAATAACGTATGTTTGCTGCTATTCCCATGCCCACACGTTTTAATGGTTACTGCTGGTGAATGTGCTCATGTTGTGAAATTGCTTTTGTTAGGAGGTCACGTTGAACTGAATCCTGGTCCCCCAAAGCCAGACCCCAAAGTACAGGATAATGAAGTCCTATTAGCTATAGGTCACCTAACGGAGCACCTCGATGAGCGGCAGGACAATCTTCTATCATCCATTGAAGTAGTCAAAAAAACCAAAAAGTTCTTGATAAAAGTGTCCGACCTTACAACACGTTTAGCAAACCTTGAAGAAAATTTGAACGCTTTGGAAAACGTATCCTAGGGATCGCGTTCGGATCGTTCACTTTGGATTGCGTCAGCGGTTCGTAGTGACAATGCTGCTCTTCGCGCATGACTTGACGACTACGAAGACCGATCGCGACGAGACAACCTAATCTTCCACAGAATTACTGATGCTGCAGCCGAAACATGGTCAGACACAAAAGCAAAGGTTAGGGCAATTCTTTCAAGTTCTTTCGAGATGCAGCTTTCAGATGACGTGATATCTCGAGTTCACAGACTAGGAGCACTTGTACCATTCAAGTGCCGCCCTTTTGTCGTACGGTTTGCGTCATTCAAAGTTAAAGATAACATCTTTTCCCAAAAAACAAAGTTGCGCGGTACGAACATTAACATTAACGAATATTTCTGTAAAGCCACACGGACAGCCAGGAAAAAAACTAACTGATTTCGGTAAGGCCAGCGGTCAAAAGTGTTCAGTAAGATACAACAAGGTTGTTATTAACAAGAAAAGTTACGTGTAATGCCCAGTCACTGATTGTGTCTTGTCTGTTGTTCCAGTTGACGATAACAACAAAAACGACACTAACCTAAGTCCTCCTAGCTCGTCGGTCCAAGCGTTTTCGTAGCAAAAAACAAATCCACGACGTGGTACTGTCAAACACAATTGTTCCTTTCTGCTTAGTAATGTGATAAGTGTAATGGCCAAGCGAGATGCCCTGTCATCTCTGATTGACACCTGTCTTGCAGACGTCGTTGTATTGACAGAGACGTGGCTTTCCGCGGAAGTAGACAGCTCCGAAATTCTAAATTGCGAAAAAAAATACAAGTTTTATCGGTGCGATCGTGGATCGCGTTCCGGAAGTGGTGTCCTCATAGCTGTTGCAGACGATCTGGTTTCATCGCACGTAGCTCTCGTTTGCCCTCTAGAATTAGTGTGCGTTAGTGTTCGCTTACACAATAAAGACGCTCTAGTTTGTGCGTACTATCGGCCTCCTAATGTACCTGCTGGTTTTTCTTCAGATTTGTACGATGCCCTCAACATGCTTCATGTTCGGTTTCTCACCCCGCATATAATTCTTTTAGGCGATTTTAATTTCCCCGACATCGATTGGAATTTGCCTTGTACTTTACCTGGCTCCAGTAATTTCGTATCCACATCTTTTATTAATACAGGCTTAGAGTTTAACCTTAGCCAGTTGATTAATACTCCAACCCGTATCATGTCTACTAGTTCTACCATATTAGACTTGGTGTTCACAAATAACCCTGATCTCATCCAGTTTCTGTCAGTCGTGCCAGGTCTCAGCGATCACTCTGCCATTCACTTTCTAGTACCGAACACACCGTCAAAAATTAGTAAAACTACCAAAATAATCAGAGAAAACGGGAGAGCTGACTACACGTTAATTAATGCTTAACTGGAGACATTTTCACGCGAATTTTTTTCTAGCTTTTCTCAACACTCGCTAAACAAAAACTGGCTACGTTTTAGAGCTAGAATCGAAGAACTTACCGACCGCTTCATACCGCGCCGTAAAATAACTGATAACAATCGGTCTGCTTGGTTCACGCCTACTTTAAGGTGGCTACTTAATAAAAAGAAGCGCATCTTTCGAAGTGCAAAGCTTACAGGCAACATCAAAAGATGGGATGATTATCGTAGTGTAGGCGATGAGTACGCACGCATACTCTCACTTGCCAAGCACTCATAATTTGAACAAACGTTGCCTTCTTTGTTAGTAACTAATCCTCGTAGATTTTGGCAGATAATCAGTGGAAAGAACAAAAAACAAATCCACCTAGTTTCAGGGAGCGAATCATTTATTCCAAGAGAAAATTGTTGCCTAGCTCTTAACAGTGTATTCGCATCATTCGTAAACGTGGTGCCTACCACTGTTCCTAACTTGTCTACTCCCAACTACGATCTAATGGAGCCAGTACACCTCGATTGGGAAAGCATAAGGGAATTAATTGAAAATCTCAAGCCTTCTTCTTCTCCCGGAGATGACGGAATTAACGCCAAGTTTCTCAGAAACACAGCATTGTTTTTGTTCTTAATACTGTCCAGAAATTTTTTCGTCTTTGGAATCGAGTAC